TCTAGCGCAAAGTCTCTTTAAGTTGTAGAAGTTTGGTTCAGAATAAACAACAATTTTACTGTAGTGGATTTTACTATTTGATGACTTAACAAATAACTTTTGTAACAAGCACAATATTTTTATTGCTTAGAAAACATTATTTTATACATACAAAAATTGTTTTTGATTATGGTTGGTGCCACTATTAAAGTATTTAAACTTCTTTGTATTGATAAGATATCTGATATAAATCCCCAAATAAATGGTAGAGGAAACCAGGAAATATGTAATACCTAAAAAAATAATTTTCTTTCCATAAGCTTAGCCACGCCCCTTTCTACTCCCCTGAAAAGCTCGTTGACCGAATATGTATTTATATGTTCCCTACTTAACTTTCTTCCCCAAGAATACAAGAATACCTTTCGGGGCAGAACCCTCTTTACTCAACGAATTGCGGGCATAAAAACTAAAACAAATAAATAAATGTTTGTACCTGTCTGGGGAATTGAACACGGACCCTTGTGTCCAAACACTTGATGTTCGAGGACCTTAACCCCTGGGATATAACTTTAAGAAGTGCCCCCTGTCTTAAAAACAAAAATGAAATGAAAGAAAAAACCAGGAAAAAAAGGAGAAAATCCAGGAGACACATATTTTTTCTAAGTGGAAGTTGTGGTAGAATCTTTCGGGAACTTTTAAAGGCTGCACATGGCCAAATACAATGGCCAATAAATTGCCTATCCGCCTTGCTTATTAACCAACGAGCACACAAAGAGGCGCAGGACACACAGGACACCCACACACACGCACACACACACATGCGGGGACCAAAGAGGAGGTGTTCGTGTGCGTCGCCAGCGCGTTTAATTCAATAATGCAGCGGCAACTCGTTTGTCATTTGATGTGTGCCACGCCCACCGCCCATCCTCCGCAATGGAACGTAGTCCTGAAGGATGTGACTTGTGCATGTGTGTGTGTGTGTGTGTGTCATCCAAGCAAGACGACGGCTTTCAATTTCTTATTTTGCCGTATGTTGTCAGATTTTCATGCGGTGTCATGTTCGTGTCTCCTTCGACGTACCGAATCAATAATTTCATTTCCCGGCCGTGAAAAGCGTCGACTGGCCACGCCCTCTTTCCTCCTTCTTTATTTTTTTTTTTTTGGGGGGGGGGGGAGTGTTTGTACAGATTGCTTTAATGCCAAGTCACTTATGTTCCCCTCCTCCCCTTTTCATTCCCCTGCAAGTTCATAAATTTGTTGCCGCCCGTTTTAAACAATAACTTCATTTGCTGGCAACTTTTTAATATGGCCATGTAAATATATGCAGAGCGTTCGTCTATCGCAACGGCCAGGAATCTGCAGGAAGTTCTCAAGTGGGCAGCTAAAGGATGCGGAGAAAGGGGGGAGAGTAAGGAGGGGGCGTGGCTGCTTGGCTCGCTGGCAGAAACTCAATTTAATGCAATTATAGAAGACATAAAATTGATAAAGTGCGCCGTGCTGCATGTGCCGGGAAATAACCGGGCCAAAACGAAGCTGCAGACTGGACAGGGCGCAACTTTCGAACCCCCTTTTGGTTTATATAGCCGGAGCAAAAGGGTATAACGTGTATATGTGCACTGAGCGAAAAAGCAATTCAGATAGGGAGAAAGAGGAAAAATTTGTATTCAAATTTCTACACAGAAAATATACAATTTTTTTGAGCAGCAGAGTAAAATCTAAGTAAAATAGAAACATTTTTTTTTTTTTGATAACCTTTTCTACTTATTTTTAGAAAATACCCAGCAAGATATATTCGAACCACTATAAAGACACTAATCATATTTATTTACTATCAAATACTATTTTCTATAGGTAACTTATAGCAACTTACAGCATAAAATCTTTTGTTAATTGCTTGCAGAACTTTCCTTCTCAAGTCAAACAGAAAAATTTAATTAAATTTCGTTACATTTAATATTCAAATGGAATTTCTCTCCGTGGTTTTTCTGCGCACTTGTGCGCATTGACTGTGGAAATTAATTACCAGTTGGTGCATAGAAATGCAGGGAAAAGAGCCGTCAGTGAGAACACAGAGATACTTTTGGCTGGGCACTTTCGTTCTGATTTTCGAGCCCCTCTTTGGCTGCACTTGGGCCACCCTGGACCACCCTACACCACCCTGAACCACCCCAAACACTCGACTGTTATCGGCAACTGTGCGAGATTTCATAAATTTCACTGGCCGGGCCAAATTAAAAAGAAAAATCGGCCACGCCGCTAAAGCTAACAAAAGTTGAATCGTTAAAAAGCAAAAAACGAACGAGAAATTTGCGGCCAACTTTTACAAAAGGCATTCCAAATTACAAAAAAAAAAAAGGGGGAAGGGGAAGGGGAAGGGAGAAAAAAACGTGTGACGGAGGAGCCAAAAACAGAGCAAACACAAGTGTGCTAAAAGCAGGTTGGTCAAATTAAAAATATTATATTATGCTGTAGAGCTGGTGGCTCGTGGTCAGCAATTACATATTTTAAGGAACGAAAGAGCCAAGTTAAATAAATGGTTACTCGTGCAACGAAATGATTTTAAATTGGGTTGCTTTTACCGCAAAAATTAAAGGTTCTCCCTCCCCAATTTATATGTATATATATATATATAGTCCTTATCTATATTTCCGCTCGTCATCGCTATCGCCCAGGTTAATAATTCCTTTCAGTTTTGCGGTGAGGACGGTCAACTTGTATTTTATTTATATATCTGTATAAATATCTGAATTTTTGACTTGTTTTTTTTCCAGCGAAAATGTTAATAATTGGCTTGGCTGTTCAAGGCAGAAGGACCTTACAATAAATTGCTCGGGATATTATCGTTGCTGCCATCGCACCGCCAACCACATCCTCCCAATTCCTCCCAAAACCACCCACAACCACCCACCTTCACCAACCTCCCCTGCGCCACAGTTCGAACTCGAAATTGATTACAGTTCATTTCATTTTGGCTTTGTTTATTTCCTTGCCCTCCTTTTTGTCCGAGTTTCCCCATGGCCGAGTTTTCCGCGTTTTCCGCGTTTTCCACGTTTTCCTTGCGCCAACAGGAGCACTGATATGGCCAGCGGTTTTTCCATTTCAATATTTATTTGTGAGTTATTATTATTATTATTATAGCCGTGGCCCTCGGTTTGAACTTACCCAAATATTACTTTCGCGCTTTTTTCGCTTTATTTTTGTATTTTGTATATTTTTTTTTTTACAAATTTCTTCTTTCTGCTGACTTTTATTTTATTTGGAGAATTACTTGGGGAAACGTTTATGGACCTTTCTTTCTGCTATTTAGCTATTGGGCTATTTAGTTATATTTTTAAGCCAAGCTCATTTTACGCAATATTTTGGAAAAAACTCTGTTTATTTGATCTACTTATTATTTCTTATGTTTATATTTAAATTTAATAACAATTTGTAGACAAGTTTATAACCAAAATGTAACCATATTTGCTCAAAATATCATCAAATGTGCATCACTTATCCGACGTAAAAAAAGATATAATGTTTTATGAGTGTGTGTGTTCCAAATTCCCTCAAGAACTCCCCAACCATCAGTGAAATTTTCGCCGAATTTAATGGCAGTTCGACGTTGTTTTGGCCCGACTTCCCCTCAGATAAATGCGCATTAAACTGAATAAGCGGCAGCGATAATTGCATAAGTTTGATTAGTTGTTCAAGTCTCGATTTAATAATGCAAAAGCCGATCCACATGACGGCAAGCCCCCAATCAACGCAGCATAAATATTTAATAAAGGATAACACATCGCCGGGGAAAAGATCGAATTGTGAGTGCTTTGGGATAATAACTTTCCTACTCAACCAAATCAAGTTAATAAGCGAAGCGGTTATGGAAAAAGGCATCCAATTTAGTGGCCAAATTAGAAATAAAATAAATACATGCATTTTTTAATTCAACTCTGAAACTTATTAAATATGACGTTACAACTATTTCCAGTGGATACTTGTTTAAAATTATTCTTTATTTTTTTACATTTTGTATAGTTATTGTGGCTTTGGTAAAAAAATCTCAATGACACGATATTTTTTCTGTTTGACTGCATGTTTTATTTATAATCTCTGGTGCTTGAAAATTTAATCCGAATGTAAGTATTGATATATACCGGTAATTAATATGCAAAAATGTTCGTATTGAAAAAATGCAATGATTTATCAGAGTTGCTTTTTTATTGGCATTTCATAAATCCAGCCAGGTTTTTTCTGTTCGGGTAAAATCAAAATTGTGTTGTATTTCATGTTTAAATTAAATATGTACTTAAATATTAAAGGTATTTCTAATGTTGGTCTGTAAATAGCAGCTCTTGATGTGAAAATGGAACAGCTTTGACCCTGTCGCTAATGGCTAAGCTTCTTTACTCCTGTTTTTATACCCCCCAAAAACCCCCCTCGTTGTTTCATCCGAAAAGTACAGTCGCCATTTGGAAATTTATGCGACTCAGCGGCTCATTTAACACCGAAGACGATTTAATCCCGCCCGCACTTCCCCTCGATTTCCCCTGCGTTTGCCCCTCGGCTTTCCCTGCTGATTAGTAGTAGATTGTTGTTGTAATTAATAGATGGCCCCGCCCAGTGCCGCCCACCCACTTAGCGGGTTTCCCAGGTTTTGTCAGGTTTCCCGGGGAGCGGTCGTCCTTCGCCAGAAATCTGTCATAAATGGCACACGGACAAGGACGAAAATGCAAATCACATTGAGCCTTTTTATTTTATTTTCCCTCGTTTTTTTTTTCCTTTTTTTTTTTGGTTGTACTTTGGACTTGGCCTTTTCTTTTCTTTCTTTGCCGCCGACGGTTATTGTTGTTTGAGGCCACAAATATGCGCATAATTAATTTGCCGCCTGCTTTTTTCGGGATTTGCTGAGTAGATTAAATGGCATTTTGTCAAAGTGTATTCTGTATTTTAATTAACCCCGCAAACGAGCGAACAACTTTTGACCAATGAATGCTGGCAGCTTGTGAATATTTAAGTTGTTTTCCTTAGACGAAACTTACCAATTGGCCAACCACTCCAGTGGTCCGAGGTGTCCAGTCTCGCTCTCTTGGATCCTGAAGTCCTGGCGACTCGACTTTAAGTACGTAATGCCAAAGTGTTCGGACTGCAAAAACAAAAAAAAAGGAGAATGAGCAACAAGCAAATGAAATTCTTCAGTCTCGCCGAAATCATCATGAAAATTGTAAGCAGATTTGACAGCCATTTGCCACTAAAGGATGTCCTGACAGGCTGCACTTTTCACCCGCTGCCTCCTCAGACAGGAACTAAAACCAAGAGCAGGGATAAAGGATGGAGCACGGAACACGGAACACGGAACATGGAACTCGGAGGACGAAGGACGAAGGACGCCGGAATACTGAAGACTGAATACTGACAGCTGCTGGGCAAAAGGGACGGCTAAAAGCTGCTCACGTCACTTACAGCTCAAGTTGTGCCATGATTTTTATGCCCATGTGAAGCACAGGTCCACAGCTCCACATTCACATCCTGAATGTCCCGGCACACACACACACACACAAACACATACACATACAAATACACAGCCATCCCACGTTTATGCATAAAATATTGGACGAGTTTTTGCCGTCGCTCGCATGCTTATTAAATATTTTATATTCGATTCGTTTGGCCAAGCCTCCGGCAGCCATAAATTAAGCGAGGCAATGAAAACATTTAAACTTCGTTGTTATGCAATGCCCACAAACAGTTCAATTAAATGTGAATGGCCTTTAACGCACGATGCTTACGAATTCCGCCACAAATATTTAGAAACATGACAATTACGAATCGAATCGAAATTGACAAATATTATATATGGTATGGGGAACTCGCTTCTATGAAAACCATCGGAAACTTGCAAAAAATCTGACAGCCTGCTCTTTACTGAATATTATTTGACTTGAATGAAATAACTAAGCTTTTCTATTTGCACTCAACCCTTAAAATGCACTTAAAATTTAATCTTTGATGCAGATTACTTCTGTTTTCGAGACTGAAAAATCCCCTCAAAAAATCTAGTGTTTTTGCACTGGGCTTGCCATAAATCCTTCTCCTTTTTCTGCCAAATGAGTTATCAGCATCAGAAGCAGCTAATAAGTCGGAGCTGGCCCAATCCGCTGTTGCTGCCACCGGACTCTATTTTTCGGATCCCGGATCTCGGATTCCGGATTCTCGATTCTGGCCAGTGTCTAATTGAAACGTAATCCCGCTGCCATGGACGCGCGGCGAATTCAAAAACTTCCTTCCATAGAATTAAGCTTCTGCCCAGACACTCACAAAAAAAAAAAAATGGAAATAAAGGAGAACAACTCAAAACCGCCATGGCCATTGAATGATAAATCTAAAATGAATGCAATTTTTTGTTGAACATTTCTGCGGTAGTTTTTGCCTTTGCAAAATATTTCTGAAATGCTGACAGATATTTTTCGATTCGATTGGCCAAGGAAAACAAAAGGAAAACCTGTTCAGTGTACGCTTTTCCCTCGGTTAAACAAAAACACATACAAACGGTTGCATTTTTGAGTTGGTAATCCGCACCAAAACAGCGCCAACAACGCGCAGCTTGGTGCGGAAAAAAATATTAATTGGAAACAAGAGGCTTTCTCCCCTTCGGATTGTTCCGGTTTTGTGCAAAATGCTCTTCAAAATGCTTTGCTGCTTTAGCTTCGCCTGCTGCATTTTTGCTCCTTTAAGCCGGTAATTATGAACAAAAAACGTCTGATGAAACGAACAAATATTATAACGGTTCATTTTTATGTGGGCACTTAAATAGAGACCATCATTGAAAAGTAAATTTAAACTAAATTTAATCAGATCCCCTAGATTTTAAAAATTATAATTGGAATTTTAAGACTTTTTTTATAAAATAGCAAGTAATAAAATATGTAAGAAAATGCAAGTTGTTACCGTATTAACGATATGCTCTGGATGCTCTTTTTCAATCTGAATTTTTCGTTTATTAAAATATTCGTACTTTCAACACCTCTTTATTCGAGCAATATAATTTGCTAATGAGGGGCTATTTTCTGTGAGTGTAAACGCTTTGGCATGCATAATTTTCCCATCACAGCCTATAATGTTTGCTCATTAAGTCGGATTCCATCGAAAAGAGCTTCCACCATTTACCCGTTTTGTTCCCATTTCTATGCGTATTTCGTTTGGCAGAAAAGTTCCTAAAAGTGGGATTTGTAAAGACGGCAAACTTGGCCTCTTTATCACGTGGCTGTCACAGGAGCAGTTTTCCGGGAAAACAAGCCTTTTTTGTATTTTTTTTTGTATTTTTACCAGGGTATCGGAGTCGCAAGAATGATTTTGTACCCTGTTCTGTTGAGTGGGGCAATATGAGAGCCAGCAACGTGCGAATTTCGCGTAAATAAATTTAATATCTGACGCAATCTGCCACGAAAAACAAAAGCCCGAGAGCCACAAAGAGAAGCGAATAAAAAAGAAGTGAGAAAAACCTACAAAATTTCCACACCATGGATGTTTCTGTTTTCCTTTTTATTATTTTTTTTGTGTTGTATTTTTTTGTTGTTGTATTTTCTTGTTGTATTTTGTTGTGATGTATTTTGTTGTTGTTGCGTTTGTGAATTTTGTGCCCGCCATCGGCGAGCGATAAAGAGAAGGGAACGTGAACGTAAACGAATTTGTAACTCGATGATGTCGACATCGCAGCTCACTTTGTGCGCCCTGTACCAATTTCATTATGCAAAAATCCGGCGAAAGGCAGCGAAACACCACGACTGGAATGCGCTGCAAAAGTGATTAAACAAAACATGGGGAAACGGCATCAAAATAAACGCGAACCGACCGGATGCTTATATATCGCGGATTTCCATTTCGTAAATAAACATGAGAATTCCGGGATCTGTTCAACAATTGTTGCAGCATCGACGATTTCAATGGAACAATATTGCGGCGACTAAAGGATTTTTTTTGTGTTTCAATAATGACTGCCAATTGCAATAGAATTTAAAAATTATACGGAATTAATTTCTCAATTGTATCAGGGATACAAAACTAGTTCAACTTGCAATAGAATTTAATACCTCCATTTTTATTGCTCGTATTTAAATGGGGAAAAACTTGTTAAATTAATAGTAAAATCCTATGCCTGGCCATTAAATCTTTAGCATTTTGCTGAGCTAATGTCTTTAGCGGAATGGCCGATAAAATTGTGTATCCCCTAAGTCCGTTACAAAGAATCTGGCTTCTCCTCCTTGCTCTTTAATCATTTCAAATTTTTCACAATTCCATCCCGAACATCCTGGACTGGACGGCCATCTCTTGTCACGGCATTTGCCGTCGTATAACATTTTTATTGCCCTTATATTTAGCTGTCCAGACTTTCAACCATCCCGCGACCGCTGCCGCTGTTGTTTTCCGACTTCATTTCATTGAAATGTTGAATTTTTATGACACTTCTGCGTTGCGTTGCTTTGCCGCTTTGCTGCAAATATGCAAATTTGACGCCCCTCTTGTGTTTGCCACGCCTACATTTCTCCATTGGCCGAACTCGCGGACAACCTCCCAAATAAATGTATATGAAAAATAACCGTGTTTAAGTTTTGAACGCGGCCAGTACACATAGAAAATTGGGAAAAGATTAATAAATATTAAAACAAATTTTTTTAATTATCTTAGAAAAAAATCTATTTGAAAATCTCTTTTCCATTAATTTTTTAAATTATCTCTTGATTTTTTCGCACTATTGAAACGTAATACTAATGAAAACAGTTTTCTCATTTTATTTGGATTTTTTCTTTGCAGAAAACAGGAGGCGAACTCGAAGGCAGCGGAAAACACGGACAAGAAGGGCGGTAAAAAGGGGGCGTGGCGGGTTGGCGGTGGAAATATTTATGCATTTCGCCGTGAGGCAGTTTAGAAACTCAGCTGGTGGAACTTTGGGGAGGGGAAGGGGGGTAAAAGGGGGAGTGCTGGCGGCAGAGGAAATTTATTTTTCCGAGTGGGCTGAGGTTCGACGCTTCGACTTTTTCGGTTGACTCAAAACTTGAGCCAAGATAAAAGTCATAAAGTTTGTCTCCAGCGTGCTGGGCAATTTGCCACCCATGCGCCACTTCCGCCAGTCTGCATTTTAAACTCGAAATACACTGGCAAAAACACTGTTATTTCCTAGTTTTATGCTAAAAAAATGTTCCAAATATAACAACAAAAATGTTTATGTCCAAATTTGAATAGCCTGTTAAGCAATGCACACTTTTAAAGGCCAAGAAACGTAAAAGAAAATATCAACCTCGTTTAATTAAAATAATTTTTGGCCATTTTATGCAAGTTTTACCAAAAAAAAATATAAAAAAATGGTAATATCGATTATGCAGGAAAATTAACATGTCAGCACTTTTAAATCCATAACTTTCCTATTTTTTTTCCGACTGCTGAGCGGTATACCTTTTTGAATTTGCTATTAAAACATCTAATCAGCTGCATTATTAGTTTGTTTTACATTTTTTACCGTTTTTTTATGAATAATAAACATTCAAAATTTGCAAAAAACCGTTTTGCAGAAAAGTAACCCAATTCTTGCACTTTTAAATCAATAACTTTTCTAATTTTTATCCGATTTGAAAATGGGATACCTTGTTGACTTTGTTATTAAAATATGTAACCAGCTGCATCTTTTCTTTATTTTCAATTTTTTGGTTCATGTTTTGTCATTTTTAATGAAGTCCTTTCCAAATTTGCTAATTTTCTTGAATTTACCTCATTACTTGCCAATTAAAGCGAGGCGCGATACATGTCCACACAAATATTTGCGCACCTTTGCGTAAAAGTGCTGTTTGGCCATCATTCGCACATTAGGCGGCTTCGATTTTCCGCCGAGGGAAACTCGAACGGGAGCCAAGGAAAAGCCGACGACAAAGCGGAGAACTTTAATTAAATATCCATTTCCGTTGGGGCATCCGTGTGTTGTTTGCCTGTGTATTAGACGGTCTTTGATCTGTCAAATGGCAAAGCACGCAGAAACAAAAGTGGAAAAGCCACAGGAAAACTCATTTACTGTTGACCAGTAGGAAAAAGTGATGAGGGGGAGGGGGGTTAGAAGGAAAAGTGGGCAAGGGGAAAGGGACCCGCCGATAACGTATGCATCGCACACTGACTGACAAGATATATGATGGCAAACTTTTGCCAGCTTTCCCTGCTTGCTTTTTGTCGTTTTGGCGCTCGAAGGCAAATGGCAAAAGTTTGATGGCCCCCCATGCTTTGCTCCCCAGCTTTTGGCCAAGCAAGCAAGCCATCGTGGCATTTGAAATGCTAAAATGCTAAAATGCTGAAATGCTAATGGCAGGCGGGCTTAGGCCCAAGTCAGATCCAGATCCAGATCCAGCTAGAGCTGCTGAGGATTCGAGGCCTCATGATTGAATGTTCGTCGGCCAGTGCAGTGAAGGGTGGCAACGCCGAGACCCAAGGGTCAGAGGTCGCTAAGGGACCAAGGACAAACTGTTGGCTAACTAATTTAAATATCATGAATTTAACATAAATACATATACGAGTATATCATATATACTGAAATATATAGAAAAATGCCAGCGAAAGAGACAAAAGGCCAAAACCCATATCTCATATTTCATATCGGAGCGATCTGGCGACCCCTTTTGTTGCAACATTCTGCCTTCTGCTCGCTCGTGCTGCCACTTGCTGTTGGCTAAAATAAATGTGAAATGTTGCTCAAAATCTACATAAGCAAATAGTGTGCGTTGGTTCGTTCTTCTTTGGGGGAATGGCATTTCCCCGAGTCCATTGTACGTGCCTCGATGGGCCAAAAAATCCAGAAACTTTCAATGGACTGGCAAGTCAACCAACCTCCCTCCTCCAAAAATAAAAAAAAAAAACAAAAGAAAGAAAGGGGAGGGTATATATGTATGTATATATGCCACGTTGCGTTTTAATCAAAGCCAACTCCCATGTCGCAAAATATTGTTTAGGCCCTAAAACAGAATCCAAAATCAAACTGAAGAAGGGAAGCAAAGCAAAAGCGTTGCGACATTAAAGGCGTATAAATAATTTTGTCTTGGCTTTTGTTGGTTTTCGGTTTTGTAATAAATTTAAAGTTGTCTTTTCGAAACCTTCTCCCTCCCCTTTGCTCCCCCTCTGACTTCCCCTTAACCAACAGCATCACCCGCACTTCCGATTAACCCACCCGCTGTCAGTCTGGTTTTTTAATTTTATTTTCGTCGTGCTCTACTTTTAGTCCCCAGCTAAGCCGGAAGGGATCAAACGGTTTTCTCTGCCCCAACAACACACACACACACACACACACAAACACACACATAGAAAAAAGTGAGGCAAAAAGGAAAGAAATAACATTTCGACAGCTGCCCCACTGAAAAAAAAAAAGGGGAGAAAGGGGGAAGGATATCCTTTGGGTCAATGAGCACCAGAGGTTGACTGCATAATTTATGAACATAAATGGGCGTGACAAGGGATTAGGGCGGAGAAGAGGGGGAATAAGGGGGGAGAGGGGTGAGGGGGTGGGAGGGAGAAGGGGAATTGAGGGTCAACTAATGACCTGGCGCACTGCTAAATGCATGGAAATTGTCTGCGCCACGGCGAATTACAATTAATTGGAAATATGGCTTAGCCAGGAATTAGCCAAAAGGTGGAGGCTCCGCCGTTCCGCTTTTCCAGCTTTCCTCCTTTTCGCTTTTCCGCTTTTCAGCGTGCTAAGTCTTCGGGAAGCCAATTGGCGGCCGAAGCGAAAAGAATAATTATAGCAGCACTGACATGGGGATTAGGTTCTGCTCCTTAAATTCGGAATTAAGCCTTGCCTTTCGATTCCTGCCTTTGCATTTCTGGGCTTTCAGCAGCCAATTATTCCGAAGACGTATAAATAAATAAAGCTAAGGGGGCGTTTCTTCAATAAAAAGGTTCACATTCAGCTGGGTTCAAGTGCAGTAGGTTGCACTTTTATGGTTTCAGGATCAGAAAACGGATGGGAAATATGAATATATAATTTAAAAGTGATTTTTGTACAATTAAAATAATTCTAATTCACTAATTTCATTTTATTCCCTTAACTTCTTTGAAATCCTATACATTTGTACGTAATTTCTAGATTTTTTATAGAATTTCTAGCAAATCAAAAAGGCTGTGTGAGAGCTGTCAGAATTTGAAAAGCTGGTCATTCACCCAAAAGCAGTTCACTTCATTTCGTTGTAGCTGACACACACATTCCTTTCGGCTATTTCTCGGAAAAAAAAAAACAGTACCTCAAAATTGTAAAAAACGAACCGAAAATATTTAAAATTTCCTTCCAAAAATCTCTCGCGAGAATCCTTTGAAATGACCTCCACTTTGGTATTGCTGATCGTGAGTGTCCTGCACTTCGGGATGCGCGGCAGTTGTCTGTTGGACATCGAGCGGTTTCCGGTGGTGCCGGGTACCATTTACGCTGGCCACGTCGCCTACTGCGCCATCCTGCACTTCCTGCAGGATGTGGAGGTCCTGCCGCAGCGCTACCGCCGCCGGATGGGCAAGCTGGCCGCCTTCCTGGTCGAACTGGTTCTGGGCATGGCCGTCATGGAGGTCATGGCCTTGTGGCTCTGGTGCAGCGTGGAGCACATTGTCCACCTGACGCTGCAGTTCGTCCTGCGTCGCTACTTCGGCATGTCCTCGCAGTTCTATCTGCAGTGGGAGTGGGCCATTGTCGGTGGCACGATGTCCTTCCTGGCGGGCTTGCTCTGGCTGAATGCCTACGCAGCCACCGAACCGATCGGCTTGGATGAAGGCAAAACGGGTAGCGAGAAGTGCTCGAGGATCAAGTCGAAGCAGGCGAAGCACCCCGTTGAGGATCAGGAGGAAAAGGCTCCGAATGTGAAGCAAAACCAGGAGGAGGTGGATCAAATCGTAGAGCAATCATTTCCCGCCGAGCAGAAAGTGCAAGTTCTGACCACCACCACCGATTGCTAGACCAGCTAAACCCTTTCAGGAAAGCCAAGCCAAGCCCACTCTTCTTCCCTCCCTCGCAATCCTTTGATGTGGCAAAAGGACTCTTTCCCCTCCTCTGCCCCCCCACCCCGAAATAAAGGGACTCCCTCAATTAGATGAACCAGCGAGGGAGGAGAGCCGACGATCATGGAAGAAGACCGGAGGAAATGTATTTATTCCAGCTAGATGGACTCGAAAAGCTCTAAAGACCGTGCCAAAGGATGCTGGGCAGAGGATGGGGACGGGGACGGGGACGGTAACGGGGCTTTCCGAACTGTTGAGGGGGGAGGAAAGGGAGAGGGGGGAGGGGGAGCATAAAATGATGGACTGCAGTAAAATGTCTATGAAAATTGACTTGGTGTCCTGGCATTGAGAGGCAGTCGGGCGGAAGGAGCAGCCAGCGCCTGGATGCGCGTCAATTGACAAATTGTCGACTGGTTGGTTCGTTGGTTGGTCGGTTGGTTGCTTCCACTGGCTATTTTCCCTCTCCCTCTATCCCTCTCTCTCTCCCTCTCTCTATCTCTATCTCTCTGTCGCTCGGAATATATTCCCTGTCCCTTTTTCCTTATTCGGTTGGGCCGAAAAGTCATCAGAACTTTTGTCTAATTTCATTTCGTTTCACTTGAAGGCCAATTTTTGGCTTTTATTATTCATACAATTTCTCGCAGCGCGATTTTAGCGTTTGCCATCCATCCATTGCGTATACGCAATGTGGTTCAGGGGAATTATGAATTTTCAGCCACTCTGCTCACTGTTTGTTTGTGTTTGTTTGTCTCTCTGTGTGTGTGTGTGTGTGTGTGTGTATGTATGCCTAAGCAAACAATAGCCGAGCAGAGCTTTTGTTTATTTTTCCTTTACTGTTGCTTATGGGCCACCCACACACAGATACACACACACACAAACAATCTCACCCCCCGCAAAAAAAAAAAAAAAAGAATATGAGAATTTTGGTGCGTGCCTGTTTTTGAGTCTTGTTCCCTCGACAATGTTCCACTTTTCCCCACTCCCGAAAATGCCGTGTTTTGTGTGCGTTGTGTATTTAGGGAAACATTGCTCCAGAAATACTTTAAGGACGACCAGTTCGCTTGAGCGAAGATTCGGGGGATACTGCAAGGATAATGGACGGGGGGAAAGGTGCGGGAAATCCTGGCCAGACACTGGAATTGATGATAATACCAAACTTCTCACGAAATCGAAAATGTAAAGAATCGGAAGGGAACAACTGCTGACTGGCCGGCTACTGAGTGTCCAAAGATTAAAGTGGTGATAACCAGCGAAGTATCTCAAAAATATCTTGGTATCTCAGTCAGAAACAAAATGTTTAAGATATGCCACGTACAAATTCGTAAAAAGCTTAAGCCGTTGAGATTCTGTCACAAAAATCAAGTAATTATTACAATTATTGTTATCAAATTAATATAACTTCAACATTTATCATTGTCTTGTATAAAAACATTTGAAAGTTCAAAAAGGAAAATATTACTTATGGCAACTGCTCTCCTATTTTGTACTACAAATATATTTCTAGAAGCAGAGGCTTATAAATCTCTCAAGACAATTCCTTATGCCTGTAAAACTAAACATTTTTTCGACCCTGCTAAAACTGCGGGTAAAAGTATTATGATGGTACATAATAACATTTGTTATCCCCGCCGCTTTCAGTGAAAAGTTTCGCTTTCGCTGTTCGCAGTTCGCAGTTCGCTTTTCGTGCGACCGACTGTGTGTTTGAAGGACGAGAGTGTCCTTCGCCGGGAAAGCAGCTGATGCTGATTCTACTGCCTGATTCTGCTGCCTGTTTCTGAGGCCGAGGCTGATGGCAATGGCAATGGCGATGGCGATGGCGAGGACAATGACGGAGCGGAGGCTAATTAGCATCGTCAACATGGGCCACCTTAAGGTCCTTTTCCCTTTTTCGCCACCAGGCGGTGGTTAGTAGGAGCCCATCTGGCTGTTTGCAACATGATGCACGCGTCCCACGCTGCGCAGGACTAAAATGAGTTGGCCTAATGATGATACACCCCCCTCTTCCCTTCCCCTTCCCCTTCCCCTCCCCCTCCTCATCCTTCATCCTTTTTAGCCATCCCCCCTCCACATGCAAAACGCCAACAATAAAAATGTCACTTTTGCGTGTTGGGGAGCCGGGAGGAAATCATTTTCACCAAATCGCAAAATGTACACAGGAAGCGAGGGGAGTACACAAAAAAAAAACAGAGAAAAAAAACAAGAAAACAAGAAAAGAAATGCGGTGGGGAAAACAAGAGTGGGAAAGTGTTCTTATCATAAATCACGAAACCACCGGCCACGCCCCTTCTCGGTAGAGGGGCTAATTAATTAATTAAGAGCGTCGCATCATCATCATCGCCGTATTCTCAACTTTGTTGCGTGACAATTTCGTGAGTTTTGCATGAGTTATTCGAGCGAAAACGAATTGTCAGCACAAAAACATGGCGAACAATTAGCGAATGCCACTTGCACTTACTTCGTTATCGGCACGCACACTACATCCAAAAAAAAACAAAAAAGAAAGGAAAACTAAAAAGGAAATCCCTCCTTGAAGTTAATGCCAGTGATGCACGATAGTTGCGGCAGTTCTCCTCATAAAATACCCCCAATATAATATATATATTTCGTGCCTGGCGGCGACAAAGAATCGGAAGATGTCCCACTTCCCTCCCCAAAAAAAAAAAAAAAAAAAACATAATCCCATTAAGAACACCTTGTCGCGATGCCAACGGAAATTCCGCTGGCAACAGTTAGTGGTAATGTCCATGTTAATGCCCATTTACGACCGACATCGAGCTGCCGACATACTCGTATAGTCGAATAATTATCACCAAATTCTGACCAGCCGAAGGGGCTTAAAACGATGCAATTCAATGGTGGTTATAGTAAAAAGTTTAAATGCCTGGCTATTATGTTTTAAATAGCTAAAGCTAAAGCCGCAAATGAAGTTATGCAGCCACATTTTTAGTGGATATTTATTCTCAAAATATTTTATACTTGTAGATAGAAAAGTGCATCAAATTCTTTCAATATTTTTTAATTCAAATGCTTCGGTAAAACATTCAAATACCTTTTCGTATTTTAAATAACAAAACAAATACTATAATTATGGATCTTTTATACAGATGCCCCGAAACAATGTAAAGTTCTATTGAACAATCTTAAATATTTGTTTATTCTTCACTTTTAATAAAAACCCATTTTAAAAACCAAGTGAGTAGCAGTTGAAAAACTATACTACAGCTCTCCTCCTTTCTGTTATGCATATTCACTTTCAAAGGAGTGGAAAGGATTGAAGCCATTGTCCTTTATTTGTTTTGCAAGTAGTTCAGTACTTAAACTCGACTCCAGTGTTTTATATTTATTCTCTAGTTTCCACTTGCTTCGATTTCTCGCCGATTTAACGTTCAATTGTTTGCTCTAAGCCTTGTCTGCACTTACTTTTTTCATTCATTTTTCTGCAGTACTTATTCACTGCCTCGCATTGCAATGCTCGGAAAGTAAAAAACAAAATATAACAACAGGAAACCGGAGTCCCAAAAAAAAGTCCACAAAATTGCATTTAAACAAATTTGATTGCCTGTTTGTCAGTGTTTTTTTCTGTTTTTTTTCTGTATTTTTTCTGTTTCTTGTTTCTGTTATTTTCAACGAAGCCCAAACATGTTGGCAAGTTTTAAACATTTTTTGTTTTGTGTGCTTCTCCGTTGTGTGTGTGTATGTATTTCTTTGTGTGTGTGTGTGTTACTGTTGATATTGCCGTTGATGTTGGCCATTGTTTGGCAGCTTTATGAAAATTTTAAGTACATGAAATTTTTATGATTTTCAACAAGTGTCTCTGTGTGAGTTTTGGTGGAAAAAAGGGAGGAACAGAATTGTGAATTTGATTGCGAGTCCTGCCATCATATACACACACACACACACACTCGCACATGCAGAGGCTTTAGTCTTTATTGCCGCTGTTAATCCGCAAAAATTTGTAACATTTTCCAATTTGGTAATCGTCTGAATGTTTTCGAAATGAGTGCGAATTTGTGAGTGAAGTGGGTTGAATTTTTTGCACACGGTTTTCCAGAATTGTAATTTGAAACTTGTTTTTACGCAGCTCTAATTGGGGATGAGCTGCCTCGATGTTTGCCAGTTGCAATTATAAAATTTTGCAGCGGCTTTTCTCCTCCCCCCTTTCATTTCCGAAAATCCTTTCCAAAAAAAAAGCAAGTTACTGCAGTAATTTTCCTGGGAAATTTTCGCCTGTGAAAAGTGTGTCCTTGCATGCAGGACTCCAGTTGCGCCAGCTTTTCCAGTCTCACTAGTTTCACTAGTTTCAGTAGTTTCAGTAGTTTGTCCAGTGGTCAGGGCCATTGTCTAGACTTTCGAAGGACTGCTGACTTGTCAGCTGGCGCTCAAACATTGTGACATTGATTTTCATTCGACCGACTCGCAGGAGGAGCTCACAATTTTCAGCATTCAGCATCCAGCATTCGGTATTTCGGCATTTCGGTATTCCGGCATTTGTGCCCCTTCGCCCATCGCCACATTTTCGGGGCATCGGATCTTGTGGAGCGAGTCAGTGCCACCAGATGCTACCTAATTGGAAATTTCACATTGCCCCTGTGCGAAAAAATGCGGCAGGATGTCGCTTTTGGCTTTTCCATTTTACTACCCTTGCCAGTGGGCCATTGATAACCTTGAGCAGTTGGCCGAGCACGAAGAAATGGGGAGGTGAAAACTATGTGGGGGTGGTGCAAAGTCTACCTTAGGTTTTTCGCCAAATGAAACCAGCAACATAAACTTTGGGTTTATCAAAAGAAAGCTACTATTCAGGGAGAAATGTAACTTTAAGCCATCTGAACAATTTTACTGTAGTTTAAGATACGTACTAAACAATAAGAAAATGAAACATGGTTGAATTGTTGTAAATAGAAAATAAAGAATCGTGAAACATTGTTTCCAAATAAAGACCATTACTAAATATAAATTTCTTGGAAATCCCTTTCACTTGCATTCTTTTTGTTTTTACACCCAACTTAAGGTTCAGAATGAAATCCTTTTAAGTAGAATAACACCCTCTGTGTTTTCCCGTAGTGAAAACAACTCAATGGCTGCGTTATCCTGGCTGCACCTGTTGATTACCTGCATTTTGCAGTTTGTAGTTTGCAGGTCCTTTTGGCCTTTGGCAACAGGTGACTCGAGTTGGACCATCGATATGCCCGAGGGATATGGCGGAGAAGCAAAGTTTTTCAATTTGAATTCAATTTAAAGTTGTTCGAACCGCTCCCTTACCCATTCTGATTGCCATCGCTGTTCTCCCAGGCGATTTCCCCCCCCTTCGGATTTTCCCCCTTCTTAGGGAAAACCCCCGCTGACTTATGTACTTCCGCAAATGCTGAGCTTTCATATTTATTTGACTCCGTTGAAATGCAAATAAATGCAAACATTTACTCAAGAAAAGCAAAGTGAGTGGAGTCGCTGTGACTCCCTTCCCCAATGCCACGCCCACAAATACACACACACACCGACACACACACATAAACATAATGATAATTATGCAAATGTAATGGCATAATGTCGGCATGATTCCTTTTAGCCAGCTTGGCTTTTCCCTGTGTGTGTTTGTGTGTGTGTGTGTGTGTGTGAGTGTCTCCTTTGAGTTGATTTAATGTAAACAAAAAGATGGACGCCTCGGGGTTTTCTGATACCTGCGAAAAACACTGAAAGTGGCGTTGAGTCGGGAAAAGAGCAGCAGAAATGCGGAGAAGCAAAGAAAAGCGTTTGTGTCGTTAGGGAAAATTCATTTTCTTTGTTTTTTTTTTACTAGGAAGTTTTTTTTTTTTTGTGAAAGGGAACGCTTGTTTGCCTTCAGTTATCACAACAATGTGATACTTCTTTTTGTAATCAAAATAATGGCACAACCGAAATATTTTGTTTATGTGATAAAAATATAAAATAAATCCTTTTTTTATGATTTTCTAAATAAATATTGCGGCAATTCATTGATTATAAATATACTTCTTAAACTAAACCTTTTTCTATTTCAGGTTTGTTGGTTTCTTCCCTTCAAAAATTTCCAAGTTGGGGATCACATTATATTCTCTGGAATCTTCTCTCAGATTGCATTCAGTTATAGAGATATCTTATAAAAATCTAAACAAACTGGGAGGTATCTGAAAATGAGCTGGAGACAAAACCAGATCGGGGTGACACTTATGTAAAGCGGTTGGAAAAACTCTCCGAAATGGAGAAACCTTTTAAGCGAAGAAAACTGGGTTATCCACTAAAGTGCAGCCATCTGAATCGCCAACGTGTGTTTGTGTTGGTGTGTTGTTGTTGTGGGTGCATTTGTGTGTGTGTGCGTGTGTTTATGTGCAGAGAAAGTAAAGTGCAGAAAAGTGTTTGTGCATCCCCGGTTTTTGGCTCTGTCACGTCGTTTTTAGATGTATTTTAAAAGATTTAGCTGCACATCCCCTCGGGGTGCCGAATAGTGGACACTCTTGGAAATGCCAGGGGCTCTCTGAGAAAGGGGGAGTGGGAGGGGTGAAACCCAAGGGGGAAGTGCAACTGCAACCGCAGATAAACTGCAGAAGGAAAGGGAAATGGGGATAGTGAAGATGGGGAGGTGTGAAAGTGAGGCAAATGTGAAACAATTCCGCTAATTGCAAAAAATGTGATGCCAACAGAGGTTCTCTTTTTTTTTTTAAGGCGGAGGGGACTCTAGTGGGTGGTTGGTTGGTTGGTGGGTGGTTTGTTGAGTGGGTGGTGACCGCTGGCAGGAGGAAAACCTGGTCATTAAAAGGCGTTGCATCGCACACAAAAGTATGCAGCACTCTCGGCCAACCAAACAGCCAGTTTGCCCGCCTTGCGGAAAAAGCTGGCTAAAACTTAAACTCAATTTCACCAACAGTTCGTACAGCCTTCCCGCTCTCTCTCTCTCTCTCTCTCTCTTTCGCTTGTTGAGTTTTCTTCGCTTTTCCAAGCGCTTTAATAAATTTAATTAGGTTGCGTTTGTTTTGCGTTCGCCGCGACGAAGGATGTTTAGTCGCCTGCCTTCGAGTGTTGCATTTTACGCACGATTTTAATTAAATGCCGCGCGTATGCTACGCTTTTATTACTTTGCTACGAACTTGGACACCAGCGAACACGAAGGGATCCTTCGGTGCAAAGGACAGCGGACAGGAGTCCGGAATTGATGCTTTGTTTATTGGTTCCCGCCCCCTTCACTCCAGCGAATGGGCGTGGCTTTCCAGAACAGCAACAGAAGCAAGCGGAAAAAAATAGCAACCGGGAAAAAAATAGAGAAAAATGCCGGGCAAAAACCCGGGGCCAACCGAATTGTCGCTGACAGTTTGATTGAGTTTGCGTTGTATCTGCGATTTCTTGTTGTCCTGCAGTTAGGAAAAATCAATTAGAGCAAGCCAGCAAGTGTCTAATTTTTAGAGTTTAATTAGCCAAAGTTCTGTGCATCGGATTAGTTTAATTAAATAGGGTAGATTAAGGAATGAAGAGAAACAAGGAAGCTCAATTTGAAAATATGTACTCATAGTTCCACTTTCCTACCTTATGATTGTTGTTATTATAACCTCTAATTAATACAAAATATTTAAGCTATAGAGTGATGTTTGCATTCTTAAGTATATATTACATAAATTTAATAACACACATCATTATCCGCTCATTTAAAATATTTGTAGAGGTGTTTTGCTTATTTCCCAATCAAATTTGCAGCTCGTCCAATTTAATTAATGGCTAAAATGAAATAATCCAGGCAGTTCGCTAGAGATAAGGGCTTTAATCAAGTGAAAAAGTGGCGAGTGGAATGGATGGCCAATTCGAGTGACTATTTCACCCGCTGTGCCTTCCGTCGTTCTGGCCAAACTCCGTTGAAATCTGCGCTAAAAGGATGGAAATGCGGTGGAAAACTCGCACTTCCGCTCCCCCAAAAAAAAAAAAAAAAAATGGAACTCAGAGCAGCGGGATTGGGAGCCGCAGGACACGCTGCTCGACGACAGGACCCACTGCTGGTTTATTAAGCACAAGTCGGATTCGGACTGGGATTCGAAGTCCGGTGACAATTCCAGATATCACGGGCAAAAAATAAAAGAGGAGCAGGGAAGAGAGAAAGGCAAGCTGCGATGTGGGAAACAGGCAAATGAAGTTAGAAACGGGGGCTCTGTGCATTGGCCTGTTCGCCGACTAACAAGGATAATTGCAAAAGGAAGTAACAATAAACCCAATGATATCGATGCCCAGTTACACACACATATACGAGGGAAATGGGGAAAAGGGAAAGGGGGTTGGTTGGACTGGGGGGAAAACAAAGGAAGAGGAAGCCATGTCCTGTGGAACGATTGCGCCAGCGAGCAATCAGCGTAAAGTGCGCGCCGCTTTGTAACTGAAACGATAAAAGGACGAAAGGACGAAGGACGAGGACGAGAGTGAGGATGAGGATGAGGAGGTGCAAAAAAAAAAAAAACAGCAGCAGCACAGAAGGTGGCAGCAGGAAAAGCGAACAAAACCGAACAGAAAGATGGGTTACGGCTACAAAAAAAATACAAAAAAAAAAAAAAAAGAAAAACAGGAAGAGCAGCTGAAGGAAGCTGGCAAACAGCAGAGAGAAAAAATAATAAAATATCGTTTATTGAGGGCACTCCAACGGCGAATGTGATTGTTGTCCACCCAGCCACCCAATCACTCCACCACCCCCGGAATTTTCCCATTGAATTTTCCGCAGAGATCAAAGCCCAAGACGAAGAACTTCACTTGGCTTCGCCAGCGAAGCGCGGAGAAAGACATTCCGATGGCAAAAAAAAAAAGTACAAAATGGCATCGAGAACTGCAACTTTGATTGAATTTTATGAGAATTCCAGCAGAAGATCATAAATACTCGCTTTTATGCGGCCATTTCCCGCTTCCATTGTTCATTTGCCAATAATAACGGACGAACGGCCAGCGGAAAGCTCCATTATATTGATAATTAATAAACGCTTATGTGACTAGTTGGCTCTTAAGCCCTAATTAATCTGTTCCGTTTTGATCTGGGATAAAGGAATTATATATCCCTTTTTTTTGGTTCAACATTTTGCAACTGCAAGCTGATGGAAAGACAACATTTGTTAGTCTGACAATAGGATTAAAGTTTTACATTGTAAAGTCAGCCAATAAGGACAAATTATAATTCATAAAAAATATATGAAATTATCTTTTTCAAACTCAACTTTTGCAAATGAGCAGTCCTACCACTCTTCTCTCTAAGCTTAGATACCTTAAAAAACGCAATATTAATTGTTGAATGATTTCATATTAATTAAAATATATGGAAACAATTTATATATCCAAAGCCAAACATTAGATTTCAGAGGCTTATTTAATTACCTTAAATCTGTTCAAAAGTATGTAGTTTTATCACCTCCTCAATTTCTTAATAGTTTATGGCAGTCAAACATTGTCTTAATTTTAAAAAAAAAGCTAGGAAAACAACGCATTTATTTTCGGTTATTTTTTTATGGACTCTGAAGTATTCGAAATCATAAAAATATATTATGGTAAGGACCAATGCAGGGGAACTTATTCCGAGACTCTCGCGAATCACGTCCGTTCTCCGTTCGTGTCAAAGTGCAGCGCAATTTATTTCGCAGCCACGGGCGATGGCAACAGTGCGTATGCGTACTTTTAATTCGAATCGCTCATACGCAGCGTGGACCAAATCAACAGGATGCCGAACTAGGTGAGCAGCGGGGATTTCATTTCATATATCCACCGATGTGTGCCACTGCCACTGCCATTCGTTGAGTTGTTGCTTTTACTCTTGCTGTTGCTGTTGCTGTTGCTGTTGCTATTGCCTTGTCCTAAATGTTTTTCGCCCCCTCTGCTTTTCCCCCGCTTTCCCCAAGGAAAACGCCATGGCAGCAGCATCAGTATCAGGAAAACACCCAAGCGAAAACACTTGGACACGGACATCCCGTATCGTTGTGTCCTTGCGCCAACGCTTTCATGCACATTTATCGTGATTAGCTATTAATTGATAATAATTAACTTAAGCACAAGCCACAGATGCCTTGGCCCCCCGTGAACAACAAAAACACTGAGGGAGTCCTTCTAATACACGTGCATACATGTGTGTGTTTGTGTTTGTGTGTTTGTGTGTGGACATGGATATGCTTTTGATTTTGCTTTCGGAAATCCGAAATCTGAAAGTGACGTCTCTCCTGTTGATTTGCGATCTAAATACACCGATTTTGGCAGCACTTAATTCCCCTTCTCGCATTTCAATATTTCCCCTGGTTTTTTTTTTTTATTTGCAGCTAGAGTTTCTTATTAATTGAGTCACTAACTAGGTAATTCAAGTAGCATACTTACATTTTCACGCTTTGGTATTTTACTTAAACTCTGTCGAAGTTCGCTAGGTTTCAGGTTCCATTCACCCTTCGGATCTCTCTGTTTCTTTTCTTTCTCTTTGCCTTTTTAGCACACTTAAACACTAACTATTTTGTTTTTTATTTTTTTTTTTGTACTTTTTTTAGAACGTGAAAAAAATTGTTAAAAAAACGAAAAAAAAACCGTTTTATCGCCGACGGATGCTGATCGAATCGTAATGGTAAGGAAAACCTTAACTAGATGATGATGCCTATTTGCTAGATTTTTGCAACCGAAGTTGTGCAGCTTGTTGATTGAGTTGGTTAAAGTTCATGAGGGATGGCAACTGAGGAGGAAGCGCGAACACAAGAACACTGATTTGCAACACAAAGTCTTGGCCTTAAATGTTTTCTACTGAATCTCTGAAGTTATCTCCGCCGCTTTCCCCCCTTTTTTTTTCTTTTTTTTTTTGGCTTTTTCCCTGCTCCACACTCCACTTGACTCCACTCCACTCTACTCCTCTTCACACACACACACACACGCACACACTATTGGTTCGTTTGATTGTCAGTTTTCCATTTCGATTTCCATCTCCATTCACTTTCACTTTGCGGTCAGAGTTTGTTTTTTGTTGGTTTTTGTTTTTGTTTTTTTCGGGATGATACGATGCGACTGAAGTGCTGATTGGTGTGGAACTGAACTGAGTTGATGGCTTTTAGCTGCTGCGAGATCCGTGCGGCACGTGCGAACACGTTCAGATTTCATAACCAACTGTCGAGTCAGTCGAGCTATTCGATTCATTCGAGCCAGTCGAGTCAGTCGAGCCAGCCGAGTTGGCCAAAAGCAAAGCCGACAACGAAACCGAAGCCACAGCCCGACAACAGGATACGAAAGGACTTGCAACACGAGCGAGTGCCAGGCATTGCGAACCGAAAAGGGCTTTCGAAGTTTGTGCTCTTCGGAGACACACACACACGCACACACACACTGTTAATGGGGCGGCGAGGTCCCGTTAGACTTTGGGGCGCCTCGCCGTTTTCGGGCGCACAGCCTCCTCTGCCAAAAAGGACTCGCTCTCTCTTAAGCGCTCTCTTTGATTTTGAACTGGGAAAGGAGGATGGGGGGAGCGATTCCGCCCTTGTTGCTCAAGTGTTGCACGTTGTGTAGCCGAAGCCGAAGTCGAAGCTGAAGCAGAAGTTGAAGCTGAAGCTGAAGCGAGGCATAAAACTTTCACCATTAGCCGCGTTAATGTGACGCGCGCCAAATTCGTCAGCTGGCCATTGCAATGGCAAAGGACTCTTCTGGGGTCCTGGCCAAACTTTTATCGCCACTTTCGGCCACATCGTCGTGTAAGTGCTTCGCCTCCTCCCCAAAAAAAAAAAAAATAATAATAATAAAATGTTGCCTTATCGCGAAAAGCCCAAAAATGATCTAGAGAATCTTCAAGTGGCGCCTCTTTTATTCGCTTTTATTTTTAAATAAGATCGTTTACTGATTATGAGTTACTCTTCAGATTGTAAGTGCTGCGGCTGCCACTCGAATCTGGAATCGCAACACATGCTTTTGCCACTCCCCCTTACCCCTTACCCCTCCCCCTTCTTCTTCTTCTTCTTTTAGTTCTTCTCCTTCTGCCACACATCCTGCCACTATGACATATTGTATCCACAGGCGTACGTGACCAGGATACCGAAGCGGGGGAAAGTTCCCGCTACTTTCGCCGGGTTCCTTTTCCTCGGACTTGTTTACGTCCTGCCCACCCACACACGCATGCACACACACACACACACACCCCTACTCATACACACATAAATCCCATAAATGACAAACTTATTAGTGGGCGCAAAAATGGCCAAATGGCTGGATGGTTGAATGAATGAATAGTTGGCAACGGAAACGATCCGCAGTCGTGGAATTAGTGACAGTTGCACAAAATTACAAATTACACAAATCACAAATCCAAATTCGCGCCTCAGGTGATTTAGAGCGGCACATGTATCAAATCAATAAATTAGGCAAACACATGAAAATGCGAAATGTTTTTGGCCAAATGAAAATGGCTGCGGAGCGTTGGAATTTTTGGGATTAATTTGACTTTGGACAGGCGGCTTTCGGCTTTTTGCGGGTGGGGTGGTTGGTTGGTGCGAATGCAAAGTTTCAATTGGCGAAAAACACGGCGACCTTGGTCGCACATTTGACCCACAATCGGCTGACCCCCGAGCCCAAAAGCAAACAAAAACAAAAAACAAAAAACAAACCCGGGCTAGAGCTATTTGTCCCGCTGAACGGCTGGCCAAACTGAAATAACAAACACCAGAGCTCCGCACAAGCTGCAAAAAGTGCGCGGAGCAAGTTTTGCCACATTTGTCACACGAACACGGTGCAGATTCGCAGGTTCGCAGCTTCCCAGTTTCCCAGTTTCCCAGTTTCGCAATTTCGAGTGCAACGAAATGTTGCACATGTGCCCTCCCGACTTCTGATAAAAAAATAAAACAGAAAACCAATTTCAGATACGGGTAATAGCAAGTCATATCGAAAACATTACGTCAAGTAAAGGAAAATAAGAGTTTCTCTTTGTCGGCCATAATTATCAACAAAACTTTAGGAAGCTAAATTTAAAGAACGAATTGAAGAATTCTAAATTTAAGAATTCTAAATTCAGATGGATTTATAACTTTCCTAATTTTTATCCGATTTATGAGTGGTAAATCTTGCCGAATTTGTTATTCAAGGATCTGCCAAGCTGCATCATTAGTCTATTTTCCATTTTTATTTTATTTTTATCCGATTTATAAGTGGTATACCTTCTCGAACCATTCAAAATTACCCAAAAATAGGCTTTCAGAAAAGCGAAAAAAATCCCATCACTTCTGAAGTCACTTTAACTAATTTTTATCTAATTTAAGAGTGGTATACTTTGTTGATTTTATTATTTAAATATTTAACGAATTGTATCATTAGTAAATTTTTTTATCCCATTTTTTTATTTATTTAATTGGTTATAATAAAATCGCTCTAATTGCAAGCAAAAAATATAACACCCTCTATCGAACAATATTTTAATTAACATTAAGGTAAATCAAATCAAATAAAATAATTCAGAAATTATTAAAAACAAATCAAATCAAAGAAATATAATAACTGGCAACTAAGATAACATTTTAATGAAGGAAATTTTAATAAAATATTAAATACATTTTTTTATGGTCGTTGACCTGTTAGTAAATGAACCATTAATATGTTATCACATATTCTTTGCAACTTAATTGGTTTTAATTACTGGTTAGAATTCCAAACGAAACTTAAAGAGCATTTTGGCAAACTGAATTTAAACGGAAACGCAATGAAAATCAAAACGGCGAGTTCGGTTATGGTTTTTTGGTTTCTGGCCTGCAAGAGAATGACCCGTGAGTGCTTTCTTTCTGGCCTGCCCAACCACTCACATGCTCTAAAGACATGATGTCGAAAGGTGTTCACAATTCCATTCCTGTGTGTGCTAGTGAGTGTGCGTGCATACATGTGTGTGTGGTGTGTGTGTGTGTGTGTGTGCTCTAGGACTCTGTTTTTTGCGTGTAGCAGACAGGGAATGAATGGCGGTAGAAATAGGGAGGGGTAAAGGGAAAGGGAGCTGCCAGACCCGAAACTTTTTCAGCAACTACAATAATTTAGTATAGTTCACCAAAAAGTTCCACCTGTCCGCATTCCACCACCCACATCCCACTTTCCACATCCCACTTCCCACTTCCCGCTTCCCACTTTCACATCCCACATCCACTTTCACATCCACATCCTACTTTCACATCCCACTTTCACATCCGCATCTGTGTCGGACGGCCATCCATGTGTGCGTCTAAAGTTTATTGGTAAAATTTTATTGCAGATTTTTGCGCTACCTGCTTCGGCCCCGCCTACTTTTTACCCGCCCCCATACCCTTCGGCAACCACACACGCCCCTTTGCCATCGGCTTGCCGTCGTCTTGTGAAAATATTTGGGAAAACTTTTGCAATTTATCTGTTTTATAGCCAGCGACCAGCACACACGCAAAAAAAAAAACAAAAAAAAGAAAATAGTAGGAGAAAGGTTGAGCAAGGAAAAGTCTGTTCAGGTATCTGCTTCTGTCGCTTTCAGGCTAAGTGTGTTGGGTGCGTGTTGCCCCCTCCCCCTCCCCCACCTCTTCCTCCCCCTCCTTTCACCAGCCAACACCCCACCGAAAAAAATATAGACGGCGGAAAAAAAGCAATTGCAAATGAATCGAGTTAAAGTAATTTAACAGTAGATTGTCCCCGTCCACTTGGGGAAACCCCTGAAAGCCCGGAAACCCCCGAAACCCCTGAAGCCCCTGAAACCCCGGTGGCAAAACTGCGAGTCCAACAGATGGCCGAGTGCTGATAAGTGACCGAGTGTCCTGGTATCTCAGCATTCGAGTACTCGAGTGTCCTGCTGCAAATGGAGACGAGAATGGAGATGGAGATGGAAATGGAAATGGGGAGATGGGGAATTGGGTAGCTGAAAACCCAGCTCGTAATATATCATTTTCGAGTGGGTCAGCACTTGGGAGCCGGCTACTAATTGGTTTCCAACTAGCGCAAAGACCAAGAAAAAGGACGACGGAAGGGGGGGGGGCGACAACTTAACCGAGTACGAGTAAGAGTATTCTTACCAAATCTCCGAAACTCTTTTGAGGATTTTCAGCTCTCGATGGAGAAAGGAGTGAGGAGAAAGTGGGCGAGATTAGTTAACTTTAAACAAGGCAAACCACCGAAAACACACTGATTTCTAATTACTTTTGTTTAATATTTTTAAGAGTTGCAAAAGGCTTAAATACTTATGACCTAACATGTTTTAGATATATTTATAATAAGTAATATTTATAATAAGTGAAACTCCTAATAACATATAATAGAACTATACTCTTTAATATGGTTCAAACTAATTTTAATTGATTTAATATAATATAATAATATAATACATACATAACTGTTTAATGAATGTATGGTAATTAAATCAAATAAATACTAAAATAAATATATATGTATAACTTTAATTACTATTTCGTTTGTTTATTTAATAATCTCTTTTTTCAGCAGCAAACTGCCATCGAACATGTTTGCTTTAAAGATGCTTTAAAAAGTGATATCGATGAAATCAATTTAATTAATTGAATTAAAACAGAAGCGGTTCGTACGGTTGGTCCTTTGTGGAATTTGCTCGCTGCTCCCAAGCCATTCGACTGCAGAATATCGCAATTCATTCAGTGTGAACCGCACAGAATAGGGAAATTATTATTCAAACGTGATGAAAGGCCAGAGTGGAGCTGCCGAAGCAACAAACCAAAGTCGGAATAGTCAACCGCAGAGCGTTGGATGAACACGCCCGACACAAAAAAAAAAAAAAACACACTCGCAAAAAAAAAATAAAACACACAAAAAGAATAAGAAGAAGAAGAGAGGGGTGGGGAGGGGGGGAAAAAACTGTCAACGCGAACTGTGAGCTGCGAGCAGGAAAAAGGACGAAATGCGAAATACCAAAATAAACCCCGAGCAGGCAAAGCTCCTCGACTCCTGCCTTTCTGTAAGTGTGAGTGTGAGTACTAGTGCGTGTGTGTGTGTGTGTGTAAGTGCGACAGCGTGTGTGTGTGTGTGTGTGTGCACGGTGGGTAATAATCTTATCTTTAACTCGGCAGAAACAGAAGCCGTTGTCGTCGGTGCCTTTGTTGTTGCTGTCTTCGTAGCCAGCGACTGTGAAAAGCAGCGACTGCGA